TATTCAGAATAGAATCTTAAACATAAAACAGAGAAATGTAAAGTTATTTATAAGTATGCTCCCACAATAGAACTAGAAGGAAATATGTAATATTTACAGTGAATGGTATATGTACTTACTATAGACTTAATCTGGTTTTTTGGTACTTTCCATACTTTTCAAATATTAAAATGAACATTGCTGGCTGTAACAATTCAGAAAACAGTTGTAGATAACCAATGATAGCCCATTTTTTTCTTCCCATTACTATACTTTTTTAAGTGAGGTGTTCACACAATTGTTAGGGAGTATAATCTCATAGAAAATTTTAACTATCTTGTTATTTTCTCAATCTAAAAAACAGCTTCTTTGTCCTGTCTTTCTTAAAAGGTCAAAAAGTGTAAGTAGCTTCTTTGGATGACTGGAGAAATAGCATTAAAATGTAGTTGCTAAATAAGTATTAATCTATCTAAAATAATTCTAGCCAGTGAAATGGCTTCCACACACTAAGAAGATCCTTTGAGTTAATCTAATGTTTATGCAGTAAACTAATTATTCAATATTTGTTTACTTGAAATTTGCTATTCAATATTATAGTTACCAAAATTCCAATGAAGCCTCAACATGCATATATTGCACCTTAGTGATTATCTCATATGGGTAAACCACGTTGCATCTATTCATGTGAAACAGAGGCATTGTTCAACTGGACTCACTCACTACCATATAAACTCCAACATATTTTTATTTCATTGGAGGACATATATTTGCTTCTTTAAAAATGCTGTTTTGGGGTCACGTATTTGCCAGGAATATTCAGTAAAAATATCATTGTCATATCCATTAAATAAGATAACTTTTGAAAACCCTTAGCATGATATCTAATATTAAGTCTTTGATAAATGTTTATTGAAGGGATGAATGAATTAGGGAATGAAAGATAGTATCCTTTCTTTCTTTTTCTTTTGAATGCAGACATAGCCTACTACTACTCACATAAGCACACACACATACACATACACACACACACAAAAATAAATCAACTATAAAATTATAATTTTGTTTATACAAAAGTAAAGTCATACATTGTTAAATGAATTATGTATTCTATTACATATGATACACTATAAATTGCATATTTAGATGCATAAATTAATTGAAATATAGAGTAACTATGATTCTCAGACCTTAAATTTTATTTTAATGTAGGGACCACGAGGATTGCCAGGTGAAGCTGGACCTCCTGGAGAAATGGGTGCTGAGGTAATTTGTGCCTCTTTCTTTTTATTTCATCCATACTCAGTACATTTTATAAGACTCTTCAAGGTGAAGTTGCTATATTAGTTATATATATAAAGAATAATTCTGTAGTGTTGTGTTGCATATTCAGAAAACAAAGCCTAAAATTCCATTAACAATAGGGATGACTGTTGTGTGAACCTAATTTTATACACATAAAGTTCCCTCTTTTTTTAAGTTTTTATGTAAATTCCAGTTAACCTACAGTGTAATATTAGTTCCAGCGTACAGTAGCGTGATTCAACACAGATCATAACAGGTGTACTCCTTAATCCCCATCACCTATTTAACCCATATCCCCACCTACCTCAGAACTACTGAAGAATCACTGGAAGATAGAAAGGAAACAGGAAGCTTTTGGTCAAGATAGGTTTGTGAGGTAATGCTTTAAACTATCTCTCTACTCCAAAAACATGGGAATTAAAGAATACGTATATATGTGTTTATAATTATTCATATACACATGTAAAAGAGAGAGAAGAGAAGAAGAAGGTGGAATGAGGAAGGGGAGAGGGGAGAGTATCTATAATATGCTCAAAACGAGATAAATATCCCGGAAGCATCTTTGAAACAAGAAACAATACAACAGCAGTTGTAGGAGCTCCAGGCCTAGAGGTAGCCAGAGGCTGCAGGAAGTTTGTTTTCAAGGTAAAAGGAGCCACATGCTTCCCACTGGATTCACCCATGAAAGGAAGGTAGAAAAGATACCATATACACCTTTCATAAATCATAAATTCATCTTTCATGAATCAATTCATATCATCTTTGTGTGGTATAGTTTATAAAATGAATAAAGAAAACTGAAATTTTCAAAGGAAGTGTGCTCCAAAGGGCTCAAAAGAAACGGATGGTAAGCGTAAAAAGTGAAAAAAAAAAAAAAACCAGAATATTATGTAAGAATATGAGATTAGAAAATTAGAAGAGGAAATGGGACGTGATTTCTCTTTGACCAAGGATTAAAAGATGAGAGGAAGAATTTGAAGAAACTGGTCTTAAAACGCCTAACTTAGATGATGTTGTTTTAGCACTTGAACTGTTAGAAGGTCCCAGAATTATCTGGTCTAATGCGATGACATTTATAAAGTGGCAACAAAACTACTTGAACATAGATATGTGAACATAGATATCTCACCCTTGGGTTAAAAACTACTACAGTCTTCTTATAAAGTTGTTAATGCCCTTGCAATTGGTGAAGGAATGTATACAATGTGTCAAATCTTCTCTTCTAGGGCCCTTCAGGTATTGAAGGAGAATCAGGTCTGCAAGGTGAACCAGGTGCAAAGGTAACCTTCCTAAATAGTGAAAGGAATGGTCTCTAAACTTTCACCACTGAATCCCCTATGTTTGCCACATTTTGGCAAATACCTATCATTCTGAAAGCAAGTGAAGGATAGCAGATAAAAATAGGAAGTGTTGTCAAATAAGTCAGAAAAAATATCTATCTGTCTGTCTCTGTGTGTGTGTGTGTGTGAGAGAGAGAGAGACAGACAGACAGACAGACAGACAGAGTGAGAGAAAGAGAGAAGAAATACAAATGATAAATTAATGGGGCAAAATATTATCAATAAATTAATATGGGAAAAAGAAACAAAATGGGAAGTGTTTTGAAACTCCTATCCTTATGATCTGCCTTCCATAATTATTAGATATGTTGTTTTAGTAGTTGTTTAATCTTTCCCTTTGTTTCTTCAGGGAAATGTTGGACCTACAGGCAATGCTGGAGTTGCTGGAGAACCAGGGTTACGGGTAAATGCTAGGAACCATTTTAATGGACTGGCCTATATAATTCAGAGACTCAAAACCTAACATATATAAAGCCTTAAAAATGCATATTAAACCTTTCTGGTGCCTAAAAGAAAACATTTGTCCTAATTTCATATTTCCGAAGCTGCACACATTGTCCTGTACACATTGTATTAGTAGTATTTGGAGTCCTAACCTCATACATCCTTTTGCTCAGTATTGGGTATAGTCTGCAGAATGCTTCACACGCATGCAGAGTCCCTGTGATTGTCACTAATGTTAGCATTAAGAAGAAATTCACAGAGGAACCTGGGTGGCTCAGTCGGTTGAATATCCAACTCTTGATCTCAGCTCAGATCATAATCTCATGGTTTATGGGATCCAGCCCCTCATTGTGCTCTGTACTGAGCATGAAACCTGCTTGGAATTCTTTCTCTCCCTCTCTCTCTGCCTCCCTAAATAAATAAATAAATAAATAAATAAATAAATAAATAAACATTTTTAAAATACACTTAAAGAAAAGAAGAAATTCACGTAATAGCAATCAACTCTCAGGATATTTCCTGACATAACAAGGCAAGCAAATGATCACAGTCTAATTTACATTTTAAAAACAGTCTAGAGTCACACAAAGTTTACCAAGATTCAAGGAAAAAATTGTAAATAAGTGTAATTAGATAACTAACAAAAGTTATTCTAATATAGACAGCCTTTAAGCTGTGGTAAGTCTTTCCCAAGATAATTTAAAGAGACACTTGCATACTAAAAGACAAAGTAGGGTGATATATTTTACATCCAGTTTCTTTTTCATTTTCATTCTATGTGCAGAGGGATGGGTAATGTAAGTGTGAGTGGTGACAGCAATGGGGCAACTGTGAAGATACACTAATTAAGCTATTTTTCAAATATTTCAGGTAATAAGAGAGCCCGTATTACTTTAATAGCTCCATAGAGTATGGCTATACATTCTGTTAAATTCTATAATTAAGAAGACAGCTTCTTGGGGTGCCTGGGTGGCTTAGTCGGTTAAGCGTCCGACTTTCGCTTAGGTCATGATCTCGTGGTTTGTGTGTTCGAGCCCCACGTCAGGCTCTGTGCTGACTGCCAGCTCAGAGCCTGGAGCCTGTTTCAGAGTCTGCCTCCCTCTCTCTCTGACCCTCCCCTGCTCATGCTGTCTCTCTCTCCTAGAAATAAAAAAAAAAAAAAAGAAGAAGACAGCTTCTTGACGTACCAGGGCCACTGTTGTTGCCGCTCCTCTGTAAAAGAGAAAATCCAGACCATAAAATTCTTGTACACTGATTTTAACTAAATTAAGTCATATTAATCCATTGAGTTCAGGACAGCAAGGTACTACAATTTTAAGAAATGTAGTATTTACAGCCTTTGAACTTATAACTGTATAAACTTTCAGAGATACAAAATGAATATATATTTTCTCTTAATTATCTAAAAGTTAATATTCTGGAACCATCTTATATTTGAATTTCTAATACTGACTCTTTAAATCATCTTCAGAGCTATTCCAAGCAAATTATATCAAGTTTATTACATTGACAAATATTCCTTATAAATAAAGTAGAAGTAGTAATAAATATACAAAAACCTGCTACTTTCTATAGATATCAGGAAAAAAATAAGCTAAAGTGAATGATTTAGCTAAACAATAAATCTTACTGTTTTTGGTACAAAATAGGGTGAACCAGGAGCACCTGGAGAAGAAGGCCTCCAGGGAAAAGATGGATTAAAGGTAAATTATACTTTCTCATTATGTATAAGTAAATTTTTATGAAATCATTAAAATATGACATAATTAATGTTCCAAACAAAATTCTGCTTATTGTGTGCTATAATTATTTTATTACTCTCACCTTTCTTAAAAATTTTTACTGGGTTACAGGGGAGCCCAGGAGGAAGGGGTCTTCCTGGAGAGGATGGAGAAAAAGGAGAGACAGGCTTACTGGGGGCTCCAGGACCCTTGGGTGGACCAGGTCTGATGGGTCCTCCGGTGAGTAGTGCTGGCTTCATTTTTGAGTACCCAGTGAACTCAGTCCCCTACATGTACACACACACACAGACACAAACACACCTACATTCTGATCCCCTTAAATGTCCATTGGGTCATTGAAAGTGTGGAACTGTGGCTGGAGAGAAGGCCATACCAGGGGCTGATTATCAGCCTACTTAACATCCAAGGAAGAAAGACACTTTTTCCATGTGTCACACAAGTCCTTGAAGTTTTTTTCTGCCACTTTGAGATATAATAGACAAATAACATTGTGTAAAACAGTGTGATGATTTGATATACATATATATGTATATATACATACACATATACTATGTATCATATATATGTATCATATATATACATATGATTATGAAATAGAATTAGTTAATACATCCACCATTTCAGTGACCTTTTTGTGTGTCTGATAAAATTTTTTTGAGGTGTTCACTGGGTGTTATATGGAAACCAACTTGACTATAAACTCTTAGTAAAAAATAAAAATATAAATAAATAAATACATACATAAATAAATAAATAAAATAAAAAATAAATGGTGAAAAAAATTTTTAAGGTTTTCTCTTCTAGAAATTTTCAAATATATAATACAGTATTGTCAAGTACAGCTGCCACATCAGATCTCTATGAGTTATTTACTTTATAACTGGAAGTTTGTACCCATTGACCATTTCCCCATCTGTCCATTACTGGCAACAACCATCAATCTACTCTGTTTCAATGATTTCAGGATTTTTTTTAGGTAATACACATGTGTAAAATCATACAGTATTTTTTTTTCCTTGAGCTTAGTTCACATAACAATGCATTCCAGGTCCACTCATGTTGTTGCAAATGTCAGAATTCCCTTCTTTTTGTGACTGAACAGTATTTCATTGTATATATAAACCATATATATAGATATATACATACCTATATATATATACATGCATACATATATGGTCTATGGCATACTATATATATATATTTATATATATATTTATATATATATTAATATATATTAAATACATATATATATATTTAAAGTTATAAACGTATCCAAGTTGATTTCCCCCAGTTTTATTGTGAAATAATTGACATACATCACAGGATAGCATTAAAGTATACACTATGGTGGTTTGATTTATACACATTTTGAAATGATCACTACAATAGGTTTAGTAAAGATAAATTTTAAATACACTTAGAGTGCTAGTCTGTGGTGAAGAAAGGGGAATGAAAGTAGGGATTTGAGGTAAAGGAGAAAAAATAAAATTAAAAAAGAGAATAGCCTATAGTGACTGATAATAAAAGTGTGCCAAAATCTGTGGAGTATGAACAGTTCAACTTCTGATTTTGTGACCTCGAAATAGGATACATAAAAGTTATTAAAAATGTTAATTACTGGTAGGAGGCATGTATTTTAAGATAATTTGCAGCTGAAATCTNTTTATATATATATTTATATATATATTTATATATATATTTATATATATTTATATATATATTTATATATATTTATATATATTTATATATATTTATATATATATTTATATATATTTATATATATATTTATATATATTTATATATATATTTATATATATATATACATACACCACTTTTTTCAAATGTAAGTTGACCATTTATGCATGAATTTACTTCTGGGCTCTCAATTCATTTTCATTAGTCTATATGTCTGTTTTAATGGCAGTACCATACTGTTTTGATTAGTACAGTTTTGTTTTAGTACTATAGTTTGAAATTAATAGATGTAATACCTCCATGTTTATTTTTCTTTCTCAGTATTGTTTTGGTTATTTGGGGTATTTTGTGGTTCCGGGCAAATTTTAGGATTTTTTCTTTCCTGTAAAACATACAACTGTTATCTTGAAAGGAATTACATTGAATCTGTAGATGGTTTGGGGTAATATGGACATTTTAGCAATATTAACTCTTCCTGCCTATGAACAGGATGTATCTCTCCCTTTATGTGTGTTAAGTTTCTTTTATCAGTGTCTTATACTTTTCACTATATAGATATTTCACTTCCTTGGTTATATCTATTCCTAAGTATTCTATTTGTTTTGTTGCTCTTATAAATAGGAATGTTTTATTTCTTTTATGTATATATATTGTTAGTGTATAGAAACATAACAGTTTTGTAGGTGATTTTGTATAGTGCTGTTTTACTAGTCATTTATTAATTTTTACAGTTCTTTTTGGAATTTTTAAGGTTTTCTATATATGAAGATAATGTATATCTTCAGGAACGGTTTTACTCCTTTTATTTTATTTTTTTTTAATGTTTTATTTATTTCTAGGAGGGAGAGAGAGAGACAGCGTGAGCAGGGGAAGGTCAGAGAGAGAGGGAGTCACAGACTGAAACAGGCTCCAGGCTCTGAGCTGACAGTCAGCACAGAGCCCGACATGGGGCTCGAACCCACGAACCGTGAGATCATGACCTAAGCGAAAGTCGGACGCTTAACCGACTAAGCCATCCAGGCGCCCCTGGATGCCTTTTATTTCTTTTTCTTGCCTAATGGCTCTGGGTAGGATTCCCACTACTATTCTGAATAGAAATGATGAGAGTGGGCACCTTGGTCTCTTGTTGCTGATCTTAGAGGAAAAGTTTTCAACCTTTTACTGGTAAATATGATATTAACAGTAGGTTTATCATATATGGCATTTTTATTATGTTGAGATTTGTTCCCTCTATCCCTGCATTGTTGAAAGTTTTTATCATAAAAGGTTATTGAATTTTCTCAAATACTCTTTCTGCATCTATTGAGTTAATCATATGGTGTTCTTTAATTCAATGAATGGGGTTTATCACATTGATTGATTTTCAGCCAAACAATCTTTGCATCCCTGGAATAAATCCCACTGGATCATGATGTATGATCCTTTTAATGTGCTAATTTAATTTGTTACCATTTTGCTGAGAATTTTTACATCTATTTTCATTAGGGTTATTGGCCTACAGTTTTATTTTCTTATAATATCCTTATCTGGCTTTTATATCAGGGTAATACAGACATGAGTTTGGGTGTATTTTCTCCTCTTCAAAATTATGGAAGAATTTGAGAAATATTATCATTAATTTTCCTTTAAACATTTGGTGGAGTTCATCTGTGAAAGCTGTTTTTCTTTGTTGAGAGGTTTTTCATTACTGTTTCAATCTCCTTATTTATCATTGGTCTATACAGATTTTCTCTTTCTTCATGATTCAGTATTGCTAAGTCCTATGTTTCTAGGAATTAATCCATTTCTTCTAAGTTGTCCAATTTGTTGACAAATAATTGTACCTGAGTAGTCTCTTATGATCTTTTATTTTTCTGTAGTCTCATTTATAATGTCTTCTCTTTCATTTCTAACTGTGTTTGAGGCCTTTCTGTCTTGGTGAGTCTAGCTAAAAGATTGTCAATTTTATCATTTTAAGAAACCAACTACAGTAAAACCCTGGTTTTCAAGCATAATTTGTTCCAGAAACATGCTCTTAATCCAAAGCACATGTATATCAAAGCAAATTTCCCCATAATAAATAATGGGAACTCAGATGATTTGTTTCACAACCCAAAACTATTCATATAAAAATAATTACAGTACTGTAATATAATACATACATACAAAATAATAAAGAAAATACAAAATATTAAGAAAAATGAGCAAATTAGCCTGCACTTACCTTTGAAAACCTTCATGGCTGGTGTGAGGGACACAAGAGAGAGGAGGGTTATTGTGTAGGATGACTTTCACTATCACTAACAAAATCACTGCTGTCTATTGGTTCAGTGGAATCTTTTTCTTTCCATAAATCTTTAACAAGGAACCTATCCAACGACCTAGAATGAAGTGAAGCATTCCTAAGCTTACCCTTGTGTGGAATAGCAAAGGACTGTCAAAAGGTGCTTTGAAGGGATGAAAAATATACTAGTGACATTTGTGGGCACCTTCCAACATTCTGAAAAAATCCCTGATTTCTGCCAAACACGACATGGCCTGTGACTGAGCATCTGAGCATGGGAGATGATCACACACAGTCCCTCAGTGAGAGAGAGAAAGAACCATTGGCTCAGTTTCTATCATGTGACGTTCAATGTCACATGCTACTAGTATTATAAAGGATTGCTCACTTAACAAATTAAAACTTACTAGACATCTTGCTCATTTTGTGGAACAATCACAGAACAAGTTACAATATATGAAGCAATCCAAGGTTTTATAGTATTAGTTTTGTTAATCTTTTCTATACATTTTCTGCTTTCTATTTCACTTTTTGCTCTAATCTTCATCATTTCTTCTGCTAACTTTGGCTTTAGTTTGCTCTTGTTTTCTACTTCTTTGAGGTGTAAAGTTATTTGAGATCTTTCTCCTTTTAGGATGTATGCTCTTATCTCACTTGAACTTTATGTTCAAGTGAGGCCAGTGACTTGGCACCCTACTTGGGAAGGGATGCTGGTAGGGTGAGATCTTAGGCTGTATTGCCTGGCAAAGCAATACCTCTGATTGGACTCTGTATTTGATCAAGGTCTCATCTTGTTCATCCTAACTAGATAGTACTACTGGCTGAACTCCATGTTCATGAGACAACAAGCATGGCTTCACAGTTGGACAGACCCCGCAGGCTGTGCCCCAATTTTGTGCAGAGTGACAGGCTGTGCTTCATGATTACCTAAGCCACTGGCTGTGCTTCTGTGTTGCATAAGGTCACTTTCCAGGCTTTCTGGTCAAGTGGGGCCTCCAGCTGTATCTCGGTGTTGGTTGAGCTGGAAATTATATGCTTCATGGGTGACATTACCATTGAGCTCTTTTGTTGGGTGGGGCTGAAGTCTATGTTTTGTAATTGTGCAGGGCTACTTTCAGGGCTTTTTGCCTATGCAAGGTTGCAGGCTGTATTTAGTAACTGGACAGGGCCATAAGCTAGATTTTCCTACTGGGCAGAGCTGTTGGCTGGACTTCACAACTGGGCTGTACTTTTAACTGAGTTCCAAGATTTTTCGGGGTCA